CACCATTTCCTCTTCCTTCGCCTTTCTTATCCTCCTTGCTCTTCTTCCCACCCCTTCCTTTACCCAAAGAGGTCATCCCTGGCAGCTTTCAGTCTGTGTTCCCAGCTGTCTCGAGAGCTCTCTCAGGCGAGCTCGCCTGTTAAAAGAAGGGCGGCCAGCGCAGGACTTTTTCGGTTTGGCTTGGGACTCTCTGAGAGCTTGCGGTCATTTGCCTTTTTTAATCCTGAACTCTCTTGTGGAAAGTTTGGGGGAAAATAAGTTTTCCTTTTTTCTTCTCTTCCTTTTGTTTCTTTTGTTTTTTCTTTTTTCTTATTTTTATTCTTCTTATTTTATTCTCTTTTTCCTCCATTATCTTTCTTATTTTCTTCCTCTTCTTCTTCCTCCTCCTCTTCTTTCTTCTTCTTCTTCTCCTCTCCTCCTCCTTATTCTCCTCCTCCTCCTTATTCTCCCCCTCCTCCTTCTTCTTCTCCTTCCTCCTTCTCCTTCTCCTCTTCTTCTTCTTCTCCTTCTTCTCCTCTCCTCCTTTCTCTCTCCTTCCTCCTCCTCCTCCTCTCCTCTTCTCCTTCTCCACCTTCTCCTCCTTCTCCCTCTTCTCGTTTTTTCACTATTCCCTTTTCTTCCTTCTCCTCCTTCTTCACCTCCTCTTCTCGTTCCTCCTTCCTCTCATATCTATTGAATGCGTTTCCCTTTCTATTTCTCTTCCCTCTCTTCTCTCCTCCATCCTTCCTTTCTTTCTTCTTGCCTTTCCTTCTTCCATCTTGTAATTCCCTTTTTCCTCCCCCTAATATTCCCTTAGTTACGTTTTCCATTCTTCCTCCTCCCTTATATTTTTCTTCCTCTTCTTTTTCTTTACTCCCACCTCTCCCAATCCCTCCTCTTTCCCTCTTTCTCTGTCTTTTCTCTCTCTTATCTCTTCCATCCTGAATCCTCCGCCTCCTCCATCTCCTTCACTTTCCTCCATTTTCTTCCATCTCCCTCCTTTTTCCATTCCTCTTCCTCCTCTTCCTTTCTAATCCCCCACTTCCTCTTCTTTTCCTCCTCCACCTCCCCTCCTCACCTCTTCTTCCTCTTCGCCTCCTCCTCCACCATTTCCTCCTCCTTCGCCTTTCTTATCCTCCTTGCTCTTCTCCCCCCCTTCTTTACCCAAAGAGGTCATCCTGGCAGCTTTCAGTCTGTGTTCCCAGCTGTCTCGAGAGCTCTCTCAGGCGAGCTCGCTGTTAAAAGGGAAGGGCGGCCAGCGCAGGACTTTTTCGTTTGGCTTGGGACTCTCTGAGAGCTTGCGGTCATTTGCCTTTTTTAATCCTGAAACTCTCTCTTGTGGAAAGTTTGGGGGAAATAAGTTTTCTTTTTTCTTCTCTTCCTTCTTGTTCTTGTTTTTCTTTTTTCTTTTTTTATTCTCTTATTTTATCCTCTCTTTCCTCCATTTCTTCTTATTTTCCTTCTCCTTCTTCTTCCTCCTCCTCTTCTTTCTTCTTCTTTCTTCTCCTCCTCCTCCTCCTTATTCTCCTCCTCCTCCTTATTCTCCCCCTCCTCCTTCTTCTCCCCCTCCTCCTTCTCCTTCTCCTCTTTCTCCTTCTTCTCCTTCTTCTCTTCTCCCTCCTTCTCCTCCTCCTTTCCCCCTCCTCCTCTTCTCCTCCTTCTCCTTCTCCACCTTCTCCTCCTTCTCCTCTTCCTCGTTTTTCACTATTCCCTTTTTCTTCCTTCCTCCTCCTTCTTCACCCTCCTTCTCGTTCCTCCTTCCTCTCATATCTATGAATGCGTTTCCCTTTCTATTTCTCTTCCCTCTCTTCCTCCTCCTCCATCCTTCCTTTCTTCTTCTTGCCCTTTCCTTCTTCCATCTTGTAATTCCCTTTTTCCTCCCCCTAATATTCCCTTAGTTACGTTTTCCATTCTTCCTCCTCCTTATTTCTTCTTCCTCTTCTTTCTTTTACTCCCACCTCTCCCATCCCCTCCTCTTTCCCTCTTTCTCTGTCTTTCTCTCTCTTATCTCTTCCATCCTGAATCCTCCGCCTCCTCCATCTCCTCCACTTCCTCCATTTCTTCCATCTCCTCCTTTTTCCATTCCTCTTCCTCCTCTTCCTTTCTAATCCCCCACTTCCTCTTCTTCCTCCTCCACCTCCTCCTCCTCACCTCTTCTTCCTCTTCCGCTTCCTCCTCCTCCACCATTTCCTCCTCCTTCGCCTTTCTTATCCTCCTTGCTCTTCTTCCCACCCCTTCCTTTACCCAAAGAGGTCATCCTGGCAGCTTTCAGTCTGTGTTCCCAGCTGTCTCGAGTGCTCTCTCAGGCGAGCTCGCTGTTAAAAGGGAAGGGCGGCCAGCGCAGGACTTTTTCGTTTGGCTTGGGACTCTCTGAGAGCTTGCGGTCATTTGCCTTTTTTAATCCTGAAACTCTCTCTTGTGGAAAGTTTGGGGGAAATAAGTTTTCTTTTTTCTTTCTCTTCCTTCTGTTCTTGTTTTCTTTTTTCTTTTTTTATTCTCTTATTTTATCCTCTCTTTCCTCCATTTCTTCTTATTTTCCTTCCTCTTCTTCTTCCTCCTCCTCTTCTTTCTTCTTCTTCTTCTCCTCCTCCTCCTCCTTATTCTCCTCCTCCTCCTTATTCTCCCCCTCCTCTTCTTCCCCTCTCCTTCTCTTCTCCTCTTCTCTTTCCTCTCCTTTCTTCTCCTTCTCCTCCTTCTCCTCCTCCTTCCCCTCCTCCTCCTTCTCCTCCTTCTCCTTCTCCACCTTCTCCTCCTTCTCCTCTTCTCAGACTTCTTCTTTCCCTTTTTAGAGGCTCAGAGTCCGCTGTTTTTATCTTCTATCCTTGAACAACGAGTCCGAATTAATCGCCTGTCTCTTTCCACCACCTACACGAAAATAGTCTTCGATTCTCTCTATTCCTTTTCCTCCATAAATGACCTCTACTTCTCCTTTCTCTCTCTCTCTTTTGCCTTGCGTACGTAAAACCCACTGTAGCCCAGCTGTTCACACTGCCTATTGTCTCCCGCGCGGAGTTCCTGAGACTTAAATGTAGGGAGAGTCGAAGTAACGCTGGCTATTCCGTGTGGTGCTCGACCCTCTGATCAGAAGGCGCAAGGGAGGCGATTAAACTCCCACAGACATTCTTTCGTCCTCGTCCAACTGCACCCGCGCTAAGAAGGACGAAAATATATATTCATAAATACGTGTGTGTGTGTGTGTGAGTGTATATTTGTTCGTGTATGTGTGTGTCTGTTTGGTCGTGTGTGTGTGTGAGTGTGAGTGTTTGTTTGTTCGTGTGTGTGTGTGTATGTGTGTGTGTGTGTGTTTGTTCGTGTGAGTGTGAGTGTGTGAGTGTGAGTGTGAGTGTGTGTGTGTGTGTGTGTGTGGCTGTGCGTGTGTTTGGGGTCCGCACAAATATAAAACAATAAATAAGACAGAAAGAGAAAGAACCTAGGAGACGGAGAGAAGAATAACAGGGAGAAAGAGGAGAGAGAAAGAATATCAAAATTCAGAGAGAGAGAGAGAGAGACAAAGCAAGATCAAGGCAGACAAACGCTAAACATAGAGATTAAAGGAATGGCAATGCAAAATGCGAGAGAGGGAAGGCAGAGGGAGAGGGAAGGGGACGACGAGGGGCGCAGGGGCAGCGCCGCCTCCAGTAGCCGAGCAAGGCCTCAGATGCCCCATAAAGAGCGCCTGCCCGCCACGTGCCCTTGCCTCTTTTAGATGTATTGGAGGGGCAAGAAGGGGAAGTGACGTACTCTGGGAAAATGATAGAAATGAGAGAATCAGGTGAAATGGTGGGGTGAAGGAAGATGATTGATAATGCGGGGAGTAGAAAAAGGAGCGAAGGGGGATAAAGAAAAGAAAGAGGGGGAAAGGGGGAGTAAATGTAAGAGAGACAGAGACATACAGACAGGCAGACAGAGAGAGAGAGAGAACTGAAAGAAATGCAAAGATAGACAGAGAGAAAGCAAAAGCAGATAAAGGAAGAATGTGAGTGAAGAGACAAGATGAGAAGTTAAACATTGTTAAAGAGAGATAAGCAAAAGACAAGAAAGTCAGGAAGAAGGGAAGAACAAGGATAAGAAGAAAAAGAGCGGTGGTTAAGGAGGAAGCGCACCAACGACGACTGCTTCTGACGAAGACAAGGGGCAGGTCCCTGGAGAGGGGGGGAGGAGGGGGGTCGTCAGCAGGTCGTGAGTCATTTGTTTTCCGCCGTGAAGAGGGGGAGGGGGAGGGGGAAGGGAGCGACGGAGGCTGATAGAGTGTTTGTTTTTTTACAACGATTATGAATGGTCTTTGATATTCACTGAAACCTTTTTTGTATCATGCTCAAAATGCAATTTCGAGGCGCCGCCCCAAAAAGGTGACGCATGTACCTACGCCCGCTATATTGAAAGGGAATGCGAGATCTCAAACCGCGCCCAATCGCCTCTACTCTACCATAGCCTTCCATAGCACCCTCGATCATCTCCCTAACCCATTCCATTGCTTAGGGGTCTATAAGGGGTCTATAAGGGCTATACGAGAACTCAAACCATACCCATTCTCATTTACTCTGTGATAGCATCCTGGTTCACCTCTGTAACCCTTGCTGTTGTTTAGGGGTGTATTTAGGGGGTCTATAAGGGGTATGAAAACTTTCATACTATACCCAGTCTAATTTAGTAATTTATTCTGTGATAGGTTTCCATAGCACCCTAAATAAACCTGCAACCATGTACTATTGCTTCAATATTTAAGCGGTATTTTAGGGGACTTTTGCGACCTGACCCTTTGTAGGGACCCCTTGTCGGAACGCCACATAGCCTAAGCCACCCAAGAACTCCCCCCAACTCTCAGTGGTGGAAATGATTTATTAAATTAATTTTCTAGTCTTTTATATAAAAACAGACCACTATTATGTATTTAGATTATCATATAACTAAATGAATAACCGATTTGATAAATAGATCTTTTCTTTTTTAAAGTTTCTCATTCATTACGGATTTCCAGCGGTCGGAAAGAGATCCAGAAAGTCGTTGAATTTAAATTGCTCATGGTCAACCGTACATCAAGATCACCGTTAGAGAAGGAAATCAATAACGTTTTTTTTCTCATTCACAGCGCATTTGTTTTCTTTTCTTTATTTCTTCTTATTCGTCTTCGGTTTGTTTTCCTTTTCTGTTCTTCCAGTTTTTCCGTTCCTTAGTTTTATTTTTTTTCTACTTTTCTCTTTTTTCTATTTTTATCTTTATTTTGTTTCCTCTTTTCTTCTATTTCTCTCTTTCTCTTCTTTACATCAGAATTTATGGAAAATCATATGTACTGCGAGTTTTTTCCGCAAGAAAATTAAAGAGAGAATCATAAATTCTGGTAAGCGTCACTTCGACAACAATTGAGGGTCGCAATGATTTTAATTCCTTAAAACTTTCAGGTCTAGGGTGTTCTCTTCTACTTTTTTGCGTTTGCTGATGAGTGCAGCTGTTAGTATTAAATATCCATGTCATGCAATTCTGTACATGCCTCAAATATTGATATTCATACCAGACAGTTTTTTTAATATCTGTCCAGTCCTGAGGATATATATTTCTTTTCTTTTTCTTTTTTTTCCAAGCACAGTTTCCATTCTAATATTGCTTTAAGTCAGCAGTCGAATTCATTCCCTTGGTCCTCTTTCA